GCTTTGAAGCAATGAAAAGAATGAATTCTAGCATGTGCCTTTATGTAAAATCACTGAGAGCTCCATCAATACCACTTGTCACCCATATTGTTTATAGGTGCTAAATTTATGTCCTAAATCACATCTTCAGGCAATGAAGTCAATAACTACTACGTTACAGAATTATCTCTCCCATGCACACATATCAACCTACTTTCAGTTTGTGTACTGACATTTTGCATTTATCCTCAGCGTAGCCTGGGCCTAATCTTTTAGAAACACCAAGAAAGTGTTTCTCTGACTATTTGCCTGATTAAATTTCTATGACTGGCACTATATGTTGTGCTAAATTCCACAAAGTATAATTGGGCACAGGTGCATAAGAATAGACTGGAAATATCTTGTCAAGATTGCAGTATTTGTTTAAACCAGGGTTGGTTCTGTGACTGAATGGACAACATAAAGCTTTTGTAAAAGGACAATATAGGAAAAGAAGGCTTGCAATTGCCCAGCACCATCCTCTTTTTGGAAACAAAAGGAAAATCCAATGCTTAGTTTGGAGAACACATATTTTTCAGTTCCAGGCCAATTCCCAGTCAGAAGAGCAAAAACAGGAGCAGAGCAAAATAAAGCTCATTTGATCCTCAGTGCAAAAGGGAGAAGCAGTCTTTACCCTTATGGAGTCAGCCTTTCTTGTTTTCTGAACATCCTCAAGCCATTTTCTGATTAAATAAAACAGTCTGAGCTAAACATGTTAATTGGTATTTTGCTTGAGTGAGGCTTAGTGCCAGCAGAATACAAAGGGTTATTAATCTGCAGAGAGTCCCAGTCACCAACTGGCCAGAGAAAAAAAACAAAACTTGTTCTTACATATTCACTGTAGACAAATCTTGCTATGAAGATACATTTTTGCAGGTCCTGATGTGGAATGGTTAATTTTGGTTTCTCTCTGGTAGGGCCCACTTTGCAACTTTCCCTGGACTTGAAGCAAGTCCTGATTTTAAAGGGAGTTAAAAATATACTTATTCATGTAGTCCTTTTCAAGTGTTTTTAAGCATTATATTTTTTGATTTAATATCTTACTGTCTTTGTGTGTTATTTGGAGATGTTAAAGAGAGGGAACATATACATTTTCTAAATAAATAAAAGATATTTCTCTCTGGTGATAGTGATTCCTTCTGGATATGTTAAGCTATATCAGCTTGCAAATGGAGTATCAACTATTGGTTCTTTTGTCCTTGATGACTACTTTATACCAAGAATTCTGCCAAATATTGCTCTATTCTTTAAAGACTTCAACTTCAAAACACGTTACCATTACAGAGTATCATACATCTGACTAAGCCCCTAACAACAGCTTTTATCACTTCATGGAAATCAGCAGGCTGGGCTGTTTTCATGAAGAGCAGAAAGATGCTAAGCTAATACAAAGTCTGAAACAGTTCTTCCAAATAATTTTTAAATGTGCAACCCCAATAAGAAACTTTAGAAGATCTCATATAATCCAAAATAGATGTTCACAGTATAATGACTAAGACTCAAAGAAAACTGCACATCTCTAAATAATGCAGAATCTCTAGACAATCCTATCTGAACTCCTGCAGAGTTGTTGCTGGTCTGTAAACAAATTAATTAGACAGGCATAATTCAGTAATTTCTAGATATATTTATTTAGCCAGTTAAGAGATAGGCATATGGGTAATGAATGCAACACATGGAAAGCCCCTTTCTAAAATCAAATAGTTGAAAATAGCAATTTAATTTTCTACATCTGGATTTTGAAGTTGAAAGAAGCTTAATAGTCCCTCTGTGAAAGATATAAAATCTGCTTAATAAGAGAAATCATATTTTATGAGTACATATATGTAATGCAAGGTATTAGAAAAGTAAACCAGACATCCTTTGGCATATACAGCTGGGGTTTGATCTAATATTTCCTTATATTTCTTTGCTAGTATTTTGAGTTCACATTTCACATATATTAAATCAATTCAAGTTATTTAGATTAATTTCAATTCCTGTTTTTATCATCTTTTATAATCCTTGTCACAACTGTGATCAATTTATTCTTGTTTTTACTGACCTGGTATCTTTCAAATGTAGAACACAATTCTTACTTTTAGCCATGCTGTCTGGGCTCTGTGATTGAACATATTTGGAATTACCAAGCTGGGGAAGTGGATTTATTCTGTTTGGCTGGGGAATAGTAGAAGAATATTGCCAAAACACTGCTACAACAACATGGTTGTGATATTGCTTCTCTTTTGAAAATTCTCCCCAAAGAAATTCCTGTAATGCCTATAGTATTAATTTTACCAATACATATTTGCTGCTGCTCTGACTTTTTATATCATTTTGTAATATTTTTATTCATAATAACTATATTTGATTGTATTGGTAAGCACAAGTACAGAGAATATCTCATCCACAGACCAGGAACATTGCATGGATTTATATATTATCTGCCTGTTTATTTCCTAAGTCACCTGTTTTCTCCAGGTAGGAAAAATCACTTATCTATAGCTGGGATAGGATGACTTAATTCTGCCCTTCCCAAAATGCTGGAATTCACCTCCTTTGCTAAATTGATCTTCCTCCCATTGGCTCTGATTGTTCAACATTTAACATTTCTAACAGGAGATAAATACTGGATGTCCATTGTCTTTTTTACTTTTAAGTGATCTGTCTGTCTGTCTGTCTGTCTGTCACTACGATGATATTTTCTCTAAATTCTGCCCAAATAAGCCTTGGAATTGTTTAGACTTCCAGTTTGCCAACGCAGCCACCATGGACGTTTAGAAGGCAAGCTCCGTCTTCCACATCCAGTTTCACTTTGCTGGGGGACCTTGGAAAGGGTCAAAAGTCGCCCTGTAGGGGCCACCAGCAAGGAGGGGATCCCCGCTTGATCGGGGGAGGGCAGTAGCCCTCCAAACCAGCGGACAAAAGACTGGCCATAGAAATATGACTCATCACTAGGCTGCAGACAGCCGAAGTCACATTCACCATCAGGCAACTATAAAGCAGCGCGGAAGAGACTGGGTGAGATCTACCTCTCTTAAATCCTAAGTATCTTTTTCACCTGCATAAGCTGTTCAAAGTACTTTCCCCCCTGTGGAGAGGGAAGGGAGATTCTATCCCTACCTCTAATAACAGCGGTGACTGACTATCCAGGGGAGTTTTAAAAGGTTGCAAGAATAACTCCTAATTGGAATTTTATTTTTTTTTTAAGTTTGTGGACTAAAAGATTTTTTATTCTTACTGAAGATCTGGGTTTTTACTTACAAAAAAGAAGTAAAATTGAAAAGATTATAAAAATTTTGGACTTAAAAGAAAACTTTAAATGGTATGGGCAACATCTTGTGGCTAAATCTGGTATTACAACTTGTTATTGGTTAAAAGAGACTTGGCCAGCCCAGCCCAGACTATAGATAAGACTTTTGTAACCTTGAGATATCAGCTGTGAGAAGCCCAGCTGTATTCTATACTAAGTGACAATTTTTTTTGCATTCTCTGATTGTAAAGTTTTTAACCGAATACACAACTAAGAGAATATGGATGAAGATCAGGAACAGATTCTCTTTATGTTGAAAGCAATCTATGAAACTATTCTTACAGCTACTGATGAAATAAGAAGTTACAGAAAAGAACAAGATGTCAGCCCAGATATACGAACTCAAACTTTGATCACAACTAAAAAATCAACTACACAGAATATAGTAGAAAAAGTGGAACAATTAAATATTATGACAGAAGATTCAACTGATCAACAAATACAGTTAACTGAAAACTCAGAAAAGGGACTGACAACATGGAAAAGGAAAAAGATTTCCTATATAAATCAGAAGAAACCTGAGGATCAAGAAGAAGAACAGACTGAAGAGAAGATAAACAGTTCAGGACAACTACATCGAGTTGGAAAAATAGAGAGACAATTTGTTAGTCCTCTCAAAAAAATGGCAACTGGATGGCTTTTCCTACATCAAACAATATACATAATAACACAGGGAGATTTATTTGATGACTCAAAAGCAGGAAATGGAAGACAATTTGGCAAAGAAAGAAAGCTAGAATAAGGCTGAAGAAAATTGGAGCTTTGACTTATCAGTGAGAATTAAAATAGAACATACTCAAATAGATAAGATGTGCACTTTGAATACTAGATATTGTTATGAATCTAGATAAAGACTTGGAAGTATAAATATTAACAGTTAAATTTGAACATTGATTTGCTTATAAAGGTTAAATGTAAAGGTAATTAAGATATATATAAGCTAAAAACCTATTGATGAATGTAATAAATATGTTTTTACTTAGTGGTATTAATAAAAATTACTAGCTTAAATATGAGATAGTAGATATTAAGAGAAAAAGAGAGGAAGTATTAAATATTGAAATAAGAGAAATTTTGGTTACTAATTTTAAGATATTTGGAAATTACCAGAAAATAAGAATGTTATATTATTAATTAGTTGATGTAAGATGGTGAGAATTCAAATAGATAAGACATGTATCCTGAACATTAGATCTTGTGATGAATTGTGATAAAGGGAATTGGGGTTATTTAAAACTTGGACATTATAAAACATTAAATTTAAATATTAATGAGAAACTAAAAATTGGGAAAAGCTCATTAGGACATTGTCTAAAAAGATTGAATGTTAAAATATCTAGGATATGTATAAACTAAAAATTATTGTTAATTTTTAAAGTTATTTTTATTTAATCAATATAATAAGAATTGTATTAAAATATGAGACAGTAAATACCAAGGGGAAAAGAGAGGAAATATTTAATGTAATAGTTTGATATTTGTACTAAAGATATTTGTAATTAAATTATTGATCAACTTAGCCGCCATGTTGCTTTTCAAATATTTAAATGTAAAACTAGAAAATCAATAAATTTTCTTTTTAAAAAAGCCTTGGAATTGTTTTATGGTTCTAAATCAATAACTACAAAGTATGGGTTGTGGTAGAAAATTTTGAGAATTATAGCTAGGAATTCAAAGGCATCTGCCTTACCTGTGCGGTGAAGAAAGCAGGAGTCAAGGATCCTGAGGGAAGCGCGGGGCTATTGAGGGCAATAGAGCCGAGATCAGTACTTGAAAGAACCATTGGAGGTGCAGAGATTTCTAAGCCTTTGGGTTTCTTAGCCTTTGGAGGAAGAGAAGGAGATTTTATTTTGGATCCTGAAGAAAGATTCAGTGGCTCAAGAGAATCTGAATCCTGGCAAGTAGACTCCAAATAGATATTTCTGTGTTCTGAAGAAAGGGGTGAATTAGGTGACAGAGATGGTGATCGAGAAGAAGCTGATGAAGCTGAAGATACGCTAGTTATGCTGGGTAACATTAAGGATGATATTTTTGCAGAGACAGAGGATGCTAAAAATGTAGACGCATTTGCTGCTTCAGATGTAGATGGCAATGACACAACAGGCCTCATGACTTGTTTGTCTGTTTTGTTTGTCACAAATCTAATAACAGTCCGGACTTCTTCCAGAGGTGTGGCTTCTTCCAATTTTTCTTCTATCTTTTCGGTTTTAATTTGCTTGAGAGTTTCTGGCTGATTTTGTAAGGAATTGATGGTGAAAGATGAGTACAACCCTGAATGAATGTATTCGTTGCGGCTTGTGCCTTTCAAGACTGGGAGGCCATGCTTATGCTGTTCTCTGCTCTCCAGAGGTATCTTGCAGTCGCTGTCCTGCAGCAAAAGGCTTTCCCTGCTGATTTCCACAGCATGAGGATCCATCTTTAAGATTTCCGGGAAAGAAACAAACTTGTACACAAACTTCTGACCAATCACCTTCTTGATAATGTTCTGCACAAAATATCAAAGCAGGTATGAAAGAATAGTGTAAGTGATTTGACAAAGTAGTACAAGTGACTGACTAAAGAAAAGGCCCCAAGTTCAATCCTGGCACCTCTGGATAAAAATAGTGGAAGAATGAGATTGTCACAGACTTCCAAAAGCTGTTGTTAATTCAATCACCAGCACCGGGCTTTATAGTCAAAATGATTTAACGCAAGATTTGATAAATTTAGTTACTAACAGCTCTTCACAGAAAATTCAGGGATTTTCACCCTTTCTCCTGTATTTTCCCCTTTCTTTTCTAACTTTCCAAAACATAATTTTTAATATACTCAAATACTGTTCTTTCTTTTTAAGCTGTATGCAACATTGTCTTTTCTTAATACCCAGGACTATTATACTTTTTTAATGTAGTCATTCTATATTCCATCCTTAGCAATTTGCCTAAAGCGATATATTGGATGGGCACCATTTTAATTGCCCCTAAAATGCTCTTAAAAGAAACCGAAGACATTACAGGATTATAATACAGGTAGTCCTTGATTTAAGACCACAATTGAGCCCCAAATTTACATTGCTAAGTGAGAAATTTTTTAACTGAGATTTGCTCCATTTTACAACTTTTCTTGCCACATTTGTGAAGTGAATCACTGCAATTGTTAAATTAGTAACTAGGTTGTTAAGTGAATCAGGCTTCCCCATTGACTTTGCTTGTCAGAAGGTTGCAAAAGAGGATCACATGATCTTGGGACACTGCAACCGTCATAAATATGAATCAGTTGTCATGCATCTGAGTGTAAATCACATGACCATGGGGCTGCTGCAATGGTCATAAGTGTGAAAAATGATCATAAGTCATTTTTTTCAGTGCCTACGTAACTTCAAACGGTCAATAAATGAACTGTTGTAAGTCAAAGACTACCTGTACCATATGCTACAGGTAGTTCTCAACTTATGACTGCAATTGAGCCCAAAGTTTCTGTTGATAAGCAACCCTTCTTTCCACAATTGCTAAGTGAATCTCTGCAATTGTAAAGTTAGTAACACAGTTGTTAAGTGAATCTGGCTTCTCCTTTGAATTTGCTTGTTAAAATGATGCAAAAGGTGATCACACGATCCTGGGACACGGCAACCGTCATAAATATGAGCCAGTTGCCAAGTATCTGATCATGTGACCAAGGGGATGCTGCAATGGCCGTAAATGTGAAAAACTGTCATAGGTCACTATTTTCAGTGCTGCTGTAATTCTGAAAGGTAACTAAACGAACTGCTGTAAATTGAGGACTACTTGTATAATTCTAATTTTTGTATTAGACTGCTTTACTACTGTACCACTATAACATAAAAGGGCTGTGAAACCCTTTGAAAGAAGTGCTTCAGAAAGCATAGAAGGGCATACAAAGTACCCCTTTTCAAATTCTTAAGCAGCTGCCACTTTTTCATGTTCACCCAGCTGCTTCCCAAACACTCCTGGCTGTCTCTGCATTCAGGCATTAGGCAGAGCCAAGTGGCCTCGCTTGCAGATCATGCAGAGCCAGCTGGGAATTGCTTCCAAAGCAAGTTGTGTAAGCTTTCTTATAACATCGTGTTACTATAGTGCTATTCCAACATTGAAATTAATCTTTTATTTTACAATTAAAACATTTTAAAGTCATATAAATTACATTAGAAAAGGGTTTCTTTTGTTTTGTTCTTCTGCAAAAAAATGTTACAGTTTTCAGGATAAACACTGAAATATGCAGCCAAGAATTAGAAAAATGTATTTCCTCAAGTGCATTGAAAGGAAAGCATCCAAGTCTCTGGGTTAGAGAAACCAGATACACTGTATATATAAGACCATTTTTCTTTACCTAAAATTAAAATTTTAAAATACCTTGTCATAATAGTATCTCAGAGCTCTGCTCAGTTTATCATAATTCATGTTAGTTTTATTTTTTCTGAGTCCCCACAGCTTAGCCACTTCTTCTGCCTTAAGTAACTTAAATTCACCATCATTGGATGTCCAACAAATCAGGTGTTCATGTTTCTGATCAAGAAGCAACTGCAACAGGAATTGCCACAGTGTGATTGCACTCTCCATGCCTACAATAAACCAAAATAAAAGGAGGAGAATAAAGAGAATGTGAATATTGCTTCACTCAGAAACGGCCAAACAATGACCTTGAAATTTAGCCTACAATTTGTAGGACCTATTTTTGAGAAGTCCTTCATCTTGTTGTTCAGATTGACCCTGGAAAGAAAAATCATAGTAAACTATTAAAAAGCCACTAGCATGCTTTCCCCTAACTGCCATTGTAAAATGCATACAACAATTTAACGTAATTCAATTTTCTCAGTTTTGAAAAGGAAAAAGAGATAAAACCATGTCAATTCTCATCCACTATTGGTAATATCACATCACAACTATCATTAGCCAGCGCAGAATTTACTAAAGGGGGATAATTCTAGAAATGTAACCCAGTTACAAAAGAGATATACATCTTCCTTAAACTCAAATTAGTTTCAAACCAAACACACAGGTAGAATTCTATATGTAAGTATGTATGTACAAGTAGACCTCAACTTACAACTATAATTGGAACCAGAAATTCATCATAAGTCATTACGGTTGTAAGTCAAGGCACCCATGTGACCAGATCTTTTTTGCTATGCTTGTAAGCAAATGTCATGGTTGTTAAGCAAACACAGCAGTCATTAAGTGAATCCAAAAATCATCACAAATCGCAGTCACGTGACTGTAGAATGCCATGACTGGCCATAAAGTTGACCTGCCAGATATGGCCAGGGGTGGTTTGTTTGCCACAAAGCACCAGTTCTGTGGCTGTCATAACTTTGACCAGTCATTAAACAACTGGTCATAAGTTGAGGATATTTAAAATATTTAAAATACCATTTTCTTGAGCACAGGTTCTCCTCAGGGCTGCATCTTAAGTCCTCTGCTGTTCACCCTGTTGATCCATGACTGTTGTACTAGGTTTGCCACCAACCATATTGTGAAGTTCGCAGATGATACAACAGTAGTGGGCCTTATTCAGGATGACAAGGTGGAAGCTTACCGCAAGGAGGTTGAGGGGTTGGTGAACTGGCCTAGTTTTAAATACCGGAAAAACCAAAAAGATCATTGTCGATTTCAGAAGAGGCAGGCACAGCCATACTTCTCTATGCATTAATGATTCCCCTGTGGAAATGGTTACCAGCATCAAAGTCCTGGGTGTGCAGCTAACAAGTAGGCTGGCTTGGTCGCTCAACAGTGAGAAACTGGTGAAGCGGGCACAGCAGCACCTGCATTTTCTGCGTCGCATGAAAAAAGCACATCTTCCTTCCCCTGTCCTGACCATTTTCTACAGAGGGACAATCGAGAGCATCCTGTCATACAGCATCACAATCTGGTTTGAAAGCATCACTGCTTCAGACAGGAAGGCGGGGCCGAGTGGTGAGAATGACCAAAAATATCATTAGCAGTTCCCTCCCTCCCATCCAGGACATAGCATAGAAGTGTTGCTTGTGCATGGTCCGTAAGATCATCTGGGACACTACACATCCTCTTCACAACCTGTTTTCCTTGTTACCTTCTGGGAGAAGGCTTCATGGTATCCGTAGAAGAACATCCAGATTCAGCCATAGTTTCATTCCATACAGCATTAACCTTGTGAACTCTCAAGCTTCCTCCTTCCGTTATATATTCAAGATGGACAGTATTTAATATTTATTTGCTATGTATATGTAGGTGTGTGGGTCTATATATATGTTGCACATAGTATACTTAGGTGTGTGTCATGTATGTGTTTCACTTTGAGAGCAGGCAACTAAATTTCATTTTTGATGTGTGCCGTTGTGCCCACAGTAAAAAAATGACAATAAAGGTTATCTTATCTTAAATATGTATTTAAAAAGTAGAGGTACAAAATAATCCCAATAACTAGTTCCAGAATTAGGGTTTCCTGCCTGCACAGGTGGTTGGACTAGAAGACCTTCAAGGTCCCTTCCAACTCTGTTATTCTATTCTATTCTAAATTGCATTCATTCATGGTTTGTTTAACCAAAGTTGAATATTATGCAAATGACTGGAATCACTCATTTCCCCACACTAGAAACTATGTTTTACAGTCAGGGCAACATGAGTTCACACAAAATAGTACACAATATACAAGCAAACCTTAAAATTGCCTATCACCACATACGAACTAAAGCGGTTGTTCTAAGCCAGGGTCAGTGGATCAATACCAGGCCGCGGCATGCCAGCAACTGGGCCACACAAACAAGCAAAGCCCCATCCACAAGATACAGGCAGCACACTCTGTTCTAAGCTTTAATCTGTAAATATAAACCAGTGTTACAGGGGACTCTATAGTTTATTATTCTTGGCAATCACCACAAATCAAGGTGCCTTCGGACAGATAACAATACCACATTGTTTCAGAGTATGCCACTGTCCTATCTCTTAATGTCTTGCTACAGAAAAATGAAGATGAAATTGGTAAGGAAGTATGGGCAAACTGTAAATGGTATTGCTCACCTTGTTACAGTTTGTTTATGATGCACTACGTTGACTGAGCAACAACACTTCCATTAAAACTTCAATATGTCCAACAGCTTCCCTGTGGAGACTGACCTGAACCCCCTAATACCTTTTAGTAAGCTGAAACCACTTTTTATTTCAGTGAACATGGTCCTCCTCTGACTTTTTAGCTGTTGCAATTAGTTGCAGTGTCTGACTTTATATTTTGCTATTTGTAGTAGTTCCATTGAGAACCCCTCAAGTACACTTCAGTATACGTAGAAAAATTAAGTTATTTAAGAAAATATGTGTCCATGCAAAAGTAAAAATCCTGAAACAGCATTTTCATTTAGTCCATAATAATTTCCAGTTTAAATAAATTATATTTTCATCAGTAAAGCATTAAAAATTCATTACATATTTAAAAAAAATCCAAAGGAGGCATATTACCCCTTGGAATTTTTAAAATTGTTTATTGTTTTGGGCATGGTATTTAAAAGTATGGAAAATAACACTGACCACGAAATTGAATTCAACAGCAAGTCTTAATGAATCCTTAGTTAATAATTACTTTACTCACATTTAGTTAACATTTTTGGTTAGATAGATAAAGTAATGGTAATAGATTATTCCTGACTATAAAAATGTCTTTTTGTACAGACATGCTGAATAGATTTTTAAAATATTATGTTACCTTAACATTACAAATGTCCTTATATAATTATGTGTATTTAACTTTGGTACTTTATTTTTGCTGCTTTCCCTTTTAGTGCTTTTTTAAAACTATACATTTTTTAAAATTATGCTTATTATATTTTTGAATATGTTTAAACTCAGAGTCAGGCTTGGTTAGTACTTGGATCTGAAGTACTCTTGGTGAATATTTAAATCTACCAGGAAATCTCAGAATTATAGATTCACCTGGCAAAGTTAAAAAATACTCTTGGCAAACTTCCTCTTAGTGTCCAGGTGACTGCACAGACCTGTACATGATGTCACCCAGAATCCAGCACATCGCCTGAGCTTTTAAACAAAACTTATTGAAGATGTCTGCCACTAGATGGCGCACAATTTCTGTCTCTATATAACAACCCATTCTTTTGTATTTCTGAAGCAGTAAAAATGTCACATTTCTTCTGCAAGATCTTAGATAAACTACACAAAGAACCACTTCACATGATTTACAAGCGTATCAGGCCTTAGTGCAGCACAGACAAAGTTTTAAATTGCTTGTGTATATATATTACAGGTACATATAGTATATGTGTGTGTCTATCTGTGAATGTCTGTGTGTATAACACATATTCATATTATGGCAAATAACCAAGCTATCAAAATATTTTTCTTCCCAAGGCTATTTATTGAGGAAAATACTGAACATACAAGAATATCAATTCCCACTTTCAACATTTTTATAGGCAAGTTGCTCATATCTGATTTTTTTTCACTGCCCCAAAAACTTAAATTCCCCTACGGGGGCAAGAAATGCCAATGGGGGATCAGAGGCAGGAGTTTGTCCCATTTATTGCCATCCATATAATGCAAAACAATAGAGGTAAAGTAAGGATTTTAAAGGCGTTCTAATGTCTCATAATACTTTAGCAATTCAAGGTAAACTAACAGAGATTGGGGGTAACCGCACTTCTGTACTAAGATAAAAGTAGCAGGAATTCCCTGAGGGAAGCTCAAAATCTTCCTTTACATAAACTGCAGTGTAGCACAAGCTATTTTGGACCCATTATGTGAAGCCTAGCTTTCTGGAAAAGTCTATTTTGCTGGGAAAGAAAACCCAAAAAGAGGATGTGAGCAGCAAATGAATTGCCTCCACTATGACAGTGTTCCATACACCTAGGAATACAGTCATGCTGGCCAAGTGACCATGGAAATATCTTTGGACAATGCTGGTTCCCTAAGCTAAGAAACAGAGATGAGCCCCAACCCTTAGAATCAGACACGACTGGAAAGGGGAAATCTTTACCTTTACCTTTATAGCAGCAGTGAGTGCATATGGGAGGATTTGAAAAAACAGGTCAGGAACAGATTTTCCTAGAGAAAATCTATCCACCTGGACACTAAGAGTTGACATCAACTGGATGGCACATAATAGTACAGTGATGGCGAACCTTTTAGAGACTGAGTGCCCAAACTGCAACCCAAAACTTACTTATGCATCGTCGAGTGCCAGATGGGTATGGCCCATTGGCTGGGCATGGCTGCAGTGGTAACAGCAGACTGGATGGGACTAAAAAGTTCAATCAATCAATTCCAACTTTGCGAGATCTTTTTTTTCCCCGCAAGAAGTTGAAATTGACTGATTGAATCTTTTTTTTTTTTTTTTGCACACGGCAGCGGAGGCCTAAAGCGAAAAGATTTTATAAAATCCAGCTGAAGGTCTAGGACTGGGGCGACGGCGCACGTGCCCACAGAGAGGGCTCTGAGTGCTGCCTCTGGCACCCGTGCCATAGGTTCACCACCATTGTAATAGTACATTCAATACAGTACAATAGTACATTCAGTACAAGCTATACTTTTCTTCATTTAGACCAGGGTTTCTCTAAGTTATGGGTCGTTATTCTTGGAGGGTCATCAGCAAGCATATTTTTTAAAAAACTGCTTTATGCACAAAAATGGACGGACATTTCGATTCCCACTATGGACAAATGTCTACAAAAGTTGATGGATCTGGCAGAGATGGCTAAATTGACTGTTTTGATTAAAGAAAAGAATGCAAGTACCTTTGTTTCTACATGGAGACCGCTTCTGGACTTTGTGCTTGAGGTGGAAACTTTGATTTTGGGTTTCACCAATTAGATTGATTTGTTGTTACAGAAATGGTCAGTTTATACTATTGTGAAAAAGTAAAAAATTGTGGCTTAACATTAATGCTTTATTCTACTGCAACAGAGGAAGTCGGAAGTCAATGTCTTTTTTTTCTTTTTCCCCTCTTTCCCTCACTTTCTTTTCCCTTTCTCCTCCCCATTATATCCTACTATTTGCTTTATATTTTGTATTTTATTCTATAATTCAATAAAATCTTAAATAATAATAATAAAAATAAAATAAACCTGCTCAGGCTTTTATTGGCAGACTTGAGTACTAGTAAAATTCACTCTAGAAGTTGCTGTTCATTTTGCTGTTTTTGAGAACCAAATAATATATAAATTAAAATCTAAGTAAAAGTATGATATACAAATTAAAATGCAATTATTAAAAGTAAACAGCATATTTATTTCTGGCCAAATGTAATCTAACTCCATGAAATCATTAGTGTTCTTTACCTTGAATTGATTCATTAGTATTTACCTATCATGTAGCAGGACATAAAACACAATGTAACAATCTCCATTTTGCTCATGCCCTGTTCTTAAAGCCCAATAAAATATGGTCCTATCATTAGAAAACATTAGCAAACACAATTTGTACCTTCAGACACTTCCCTATTTTCCCAGATGGTTTAAAGATTATAGCTTCATAGAATATGTGGGTATGAAGAAAGCTTGGGAATCAACTAGTTCAAATCTTCACCTAATGAAAACTCCACTATTATAGCATTCCTGACATTTGGTCATCAGTCTTAGCTTAAGTACTTTTACCAAAGGTAAATCTGCTACTTCTCTAAACAGGCTAGACAGTTTCATTGTTAAACAGTTTTTAGGAATTTCTTCCAACATCCAGCTGAAATCTTCTCCCTGTAATATAAAATCTCTGACCCTTTTCTTCTCTTCTGATTATACTGATCAAGGCTAGTATAATATTCTACATAACGTATCCTTTGAGACACCTTGAGACAGCTATTACCTCTCTCTTTAGATTTCTCTTTATGTCCAGGCCAAACATACCCAAGGCCCCAAGCAATTCCTCTTAAGTTTTTCTTTCCTGGCCCATTATCATCTTTGTTGCTGTCATTCAGACATGCTCCAACTTTGTAAATGTCTTTTGTAAAATGGACACAATATGACTAAGAGCAATGAATATTGACCCTCACATTGTACTTCTGTTGATGCAACTGCCCAGAGCTGCTGGGAGTCAGGTGGTACATGAATAAAACAACAAATACTGCATTTATAATGTTTGCAGCTGAATGACAGTCATGTTCAACTCATGTTCCACTGAACTACCACGATTCTTTTCAAATGTACAGATGTCCAATATGGTTTCTCCCTCCTAGTTTCATGTCTCTAACCTACCTAAGTTAAAGACATTTTCTTTGTCCCTCTTGAAATTCATCTTGTTGGTTTCTGCCAGTTGTTTGGGTTTCTTCAGATCTTCCTAAATCTTAATATTGCCCTCTAAGGTATTTGCTATCCCCACTATATTTATGCATTTGCAGATTATGCTTTTAACCCCTCATCCATGTGATTTATTAAATATATTGAACTTCAGAGCCTAAAAGTATGTTCCTCTGAACTTTAGAGCTTAGAATTTTGTCCATATGGCATGCTATCCCATCTTGACACTGAGCCTTTGATTTACACTTGTTCAGTTAATTTAATAGTAATATGGTCTGGTCCACATTTTGCAGTGGGCCTTACTAAGCAATGCAATTTTTTTCAACTATTTACAAACTGACTGCTTAATAATTTCTTTCAAGGTTTTGCCTGGTATCAGCATCCAGCTGATCACTCTGTAACCACTTTTTTATCCATTGTTTGTTTATTTGCAAATTCTATTTCTATAGGACCCCATTGGTACTTAATTCTGGGCAACTTATATGGATTGAAAAAACAACAATATAAACAAAAAAGACACAACCATGCCAGGGACCCATAACGATTCATAATATTCAAACTCAGTCATGGGCTCTCATAATGTCCTAGACCAGTGCCTTTTGGAAGAGAGGAAGAACATTTGCCTATCTCTGATCTCTTAACACTATGCTCATCTTCCGTGTTAGCTCATAGATCACTGGAGGGGCCCCAAGAATACATCCATAAACTTCTTTATGGCTCATAGAAGTAAATGATTTGGTCCTCCAGTTTTAAATTCATTCATGGTAGCTGGATATTCCCTATGTTTTTATTTATCTTGAGTTGCCACTCTATCTTTGAATCAGATGTTCTATTTAGATCTTTCTAAAAAAAATTCCTTTTGGGGGAGAAGACCAAAGCAAAGAGACGAGGAGTTCTGCTCTCATTTCATTGTGTTACCATCTTATTATCTTTTAATATCAGACCAACCACTCCCTTTTTCTTCCATTCAATACTGATACAACCCAAAAAATGCCATTTTTATTGTTTTTAAAGTCTTTCAGACACTAATGTTAAATCTTCATTTATTAAATGATGTCCAGCAAAACTTTTTCTCTGAGCTGAGTGACGTAGGGCATTGTTAGTTTCCCATTCTCATTAACACTCACAGCTTCCGCTATTTCTGTAGGCTGCAGGCAGGAAATGAGAAACGAGACCAGAGGAAACCTGGCCATCTACATCTGTCCTTGTTTGCAATCTCAGCTCTAGTTTGATTTTGCTAAAAATCGTCTCTTAACCCCCGACATGCCAATTCAATTTCTATTATATACTTAATCTTATACTGTTACTCTGCATTTTTCTCTGTAACTCTGTATACCTTGATCATGCTACATAGTCATAATTAATGATAATGAAATGAGTTCCTCAAACTTGGTATCTAAGAAACTCCTGACCCAATGATGAGGTCATACATCATTATAGATAATGTGGATACCACATTATCTAAGCTATATTTAAACAAAGCTTCTGAATAGGCTATGTTGGCAACATTCATGCATAAAGCTAAGTTATAAATTTAAACCACAAATCATAACAGTTTATATCACAAATAAAAATATAGTTTTCTGTTAATTGCTAGGTTGACCCAATGTGTTAAATTAAAAAAGAAACCAAATAAAAATATGTGTTATGTTTTAGCCCAGTGTCTCAATCATAGTTACGTAGGTCTTATATACTTAATAATGTAGCATTACAAGTTCTCCTTCTTAAATTGGTGTTGTAGATTATTATTTATATTCAATCATTTGGTGAGAATAAATCTACTTCAATCTACTTATTTCTGGAATGAACATACAGGGACAATAGGTGATGAAAACTTACCAGATGAGACAAAGAAGATGCTTCAACAGAAACAATTTTCCATAAGGAAGATAAACAAAGGAACAAGCCCAGTGGATGAGAATCACTACCAAAAACAAATGTCATAGAAGATATGCTGCATAACTTTGAGGCCCTCACAGAATAAATAACCTCTAATTCTTCAGAAGTAGAAAAGTCAACACTGTGGAACAGGAGACAGGACATTAGATCCCTGAAGAACAAACAGGATACAGCAGTGCCCTGAAAGCAGACAAAGAGAAGAGTCATGGCATTTGATGACATCCTAGAACAAGGAACTAAAGCAAATACAGTACTGCAAAGAGCTATCCTTGAAGACTACTCAGGTACTGCAGTTGGTACAAATTACAGTGGGCAACTGGCTAGCTGACTGGCTGGCTTTCAAGAATCACCGTAGACATCTAAGCTATGGGCTCACTGTCTACTAACAGATTTTGAAGTATAATTTAAAGCACTGGTTTTAACAATAAAGTCTTATGTGGCTTGGCTTCTGTGTACCTTCAGAACAGCCTTGTTTATAGATATTCAAGCCCCCTGGTTTGTACTGCTGGAGGTCTGCCATTACTGAAAAATCAGGGGCACGGTCCAATAGATGTTTCTATCGTGTGGACCTTAAGTTATGAGTAGTCTCCCCCTTGAGCCAAGCAAGCATAGACCTTCATGGCTTTCCAGAGCTTAGTAAAAATAGAGGCTTTCCAAATAGTATAGCGTGATAAAACACTTCAAGATTTATAAAGTCCATGGTCAATTATCAATTCTAGATAATACATATCACAAAATAATAGTGCCAAGGGCACCTAAACTGTATCACCATGAACACTATATATCCAGAAAGCTCAAATGCATTCTCATTCACAAAATAGAATTTGAAAGGGAAAGAATAATTCAACTGAATGAAACTGTTTCATGAGATAAATTTGGTTTCTGGGACTATAATAAGATGTGGATCATAGATTACTACCATAGGATGTTTGAGTGTAATGAAGTCTGGTAAAAATATATCTGAGAAAACACATAAAGTTGAATTGTGAACTGAATCCTGTTTGGGTAGAATATGACATTCTTGAAATAAGCATCCCTGTGAACTATGGAAAGTAGTTTGAGTATTGCTATAATGGAGCCATCAAAAATTAGAAAGATCATTGAACCATAAAATGCATGACTTTTGTGGTTGATATACTAATGTTCAGAGTATAGGACATTTGGAATGTTGGAAAATTGTGTTTTACATCATCCTAACTGTATGTGTCAGAGATATTTGCCAATATCTCAAATTATTGCCATTAAGAAGTTTATATACAAGCCATAGTAACACAGTGGTTAGAATGCAGTATTGCAGGCTGACTCTGCCCACAGCCAGGTTCAATCCTGACAGTCTTTAGGTTGACTCAGCCTTCCATCCTTCTGAGGTCGGTAAAATCAGGACCCAGATTGTTAGGGGCAATATGCTGATTCTATAAACTTCTCAGAGAGTGCTATAAAGCACTGTGGAGCAGTATATAGGTCTATGTGCTAATGCTATTGCTATACAGGAAGATGGAAGCTTTTTCCAGAATTATTCTGATATATAATAATACACAAAAGCATAAGGAGTGAGCTGGACATCTTTATTGTAGCCCAATGAAACTGTATACAAACAGGACAATGGGCATATCACAGCTATGTTCTACATCTATAGCAGTGGTTCTCAACCCTTCTAATGCCGCGACCCCATAATACAGTTCCCCATGTTGTGGTGACCCCCAACCTCTTATACATCACCGGGTGCCAGGGGCGTGGCCAAAGAAAAGGGGAAAAAATGGCGGACAGACTTGTTTGGTGACCCCCGTGAATGGGGGTCACCAAACCCGACCCACAGGTTGAAGACCACTGATCTATAGGAATCTCATAAGTTGAGAACCACTGATCTATAGGAATCTTATAAGCATAATCTCATAATTAGAATTTCACTTTTAACAAAGTGAATTCTAATTCATCAGTACCTATGGTTCTAAAGATATATAGATCAAAAACTGTTTTTCTAGCTACATTTCATGTAATGCTTTTTAAATAATATTTTAAATTTATTTATTTACAGGTTTTGTATATAACTCACTCCCTTAGCAACTCAGGATAGCTGACAGAAATAGAATCAAAAGAAATAAATGTAAGTCTAAATATTAATAAAATGATACATTTTGAAAGAATGGAAAGACTTGGATAAACTAATGTAAAGGTGGCTTCTTCAATCCTAATGGCAGTTTGTTCCACAACATTATCCCTGCACGAAGATAGCAATATATGTGTTAGTTTGCACAAGAGTAGGGTGCTATACTACGTAAGTCTTTATATTCCATGAGAGCAATGGAATGTAAACGTTTGGAAGGCAATTGTCAACCCAATGAAGTTGTTTAAATAAGGAAGTTTTGTGGCAACATCAAGAAGCACAACACATTATAATGCTACCACATTCTGGGCAAGCAGCAATTTCAAATGACCAGTAAGGTACATTCTAATAATCCTAATCAATATGAGGTAATTGATTTATAAGACACTCCTTACTAATGGTTTTACAAGGCTGTCCAACATGAGTGCCAGATCCAAAAGGAGCCAAAACTAATCCTTAAAGATCAGAATGGGTTTTACCCTGACAACATTGCAAACATCCTTCAAGACTTGGCCAGTGTCTCAGGGCATTGAGCCTCCGTCAGTTTTTTTTTTTATGTTGTATTTTTCTAATTGTGCATGATTTTGTCTTATTGATTTCATGGTTCTTTCATAGAAGGCAGCCTCTACATTTAATAAAACAGATGTGCACTCACATCCTGAAGTACCCCATAGCATTTTTCTTGAATTCTGAAGTTCAGCCCCTGGACTCAGTAACCATTCCATCTTGTCAGAATTGAGTTTTGTCTGTTTAGCCACATCTAATCCTTTATAGCCCAGAAACATTCATCTATATAACATATAGTTATATAATAAAATCCTTTCTCTGTGGTTTCCTCGTTTCTCCATTTTTCACAACTACATTTCTTAAAGTATTATATTGATGCAGTTTTCTCCATAGTTGGATTTTTAAAAGTGGTGTTTTTTTAAAAAAAAAATCTGGCTGAAATATTTTCTTAATCTGAGACAAAATTTAGTGATATTTTCAAAACCTAGCAACCATATTTCCAGCTGGAGTATCATCATGTTAGTTCCCCACCAAGCCTCCAATATGTTGACACTGTAAAAATCTAAATCAGGACTTCCGCCTATTATATATTTCAGAGCTGTCTTTCTGGAAAAACCTGGTAATAGCTAAAAAGTATAAAGTCCTGCAGCACTATGCAGATCGTTGACATTTAACACCAGACAGGTTATCAAGAATGTATAAAGGTATTTCAAATGAATGTTGGAAATGCAAATATAAAGAAGGGACCTTTTGTCATTTATGGTTGACATGTGATAAAGCAAAGAAATATTATAGTAGGATTCATATTCTAATAAATAAGATTCTTAAAGTGAATATAAAGATAAAATCAGAAACTTTTCTTTTTGGTTTAATGGAAAAAGACCTGGATTTTTTTGGGGGGGACTCTGATATATATGTTGACGGCAGCAAGACTACTTCATGAACAAAAATGGAAGGACACTTTGACTCCCTCAAATGGCTGCAAAAGTTAATGGAGTTAGCAGAGATGGCAAGTTGACTGCTTTGATAAAAGAAAAAAACACAGTTTTGTTTTTACTTGGAAACCCCTTCTGGACTTTGTGCTTAAGGTGGAAAAAAAATGAAACTTTGATTTTGGGTTTTACCGATTAGATAGATTTGTTGTTATAGAAATGGCTACTTTATACTATTATATAAAAGTAAAAAGTTGAGGTTTGATGTTACTATCTTATTCTACTGCACCAAAGGAAGTCAGAATTCAACGCCTTTTCTTTCTTTTTTCCTTCTTTTCTACACTGTTCTCTTCCCTTTTCCCTCCCATATTTTTCCTATTATTTGCTTTTGTATTTTTGTATTTTATATTATAAACTAATAAAAAGAATAATATAAAAAAGTAAGATAAAAATCTAAATCAGGACTTCCACCTATTATATTTCAGAGCTGTCTTTCTGGAAAAGACAGATAATAGCTAAAAAATAGAAAGTCCTACACCACTAAGTATTGGAAATATTTTTACAAATTGTAGTTATCTTGCATTTTCCAAGATGGTTTCTGTAATTAGTAAATAGACAAATTGTTTGGCTAGACTAGTAAAATTTTAAGACAGAAGCAAAAGCCATCATTGGAATGAGCAGAGTAGGATTCATCTATCTATCTATCTACCTGCCTGCCTGCCTATCTCCATATCTATCTAAAACTATATATATATAGGTCTTTGGTTGTTCGGGTTTTCTCCCGCGTAAAATAGGAAGTGTCTTGGCGACGTTTCGACGAAGTCCCATTCATCATCTTCAGGCTGGTGTTTTCAGCTTCGTGCTTCGAGGAGCAATGTGTGGTCTTAGCTGTTTCTTCCTTTTAACTGCCAGTGGGGGTATGAACTGATTGGGTGGGAGCTTGCTGTGTTCTGATTGGGTGGAGGTGTGTTCTGATTGGTTAGGGGCGTGGCTGTGCTCTGATTGGCTGGGGGGTTGGCTGTGCTCTGATTGGCTGGGGGGTTGGCTGTGCTCTGATTGGCTGGGGGAGTGTTCTGTTTGGTTGTGCTCAGGTTAGTCTGAGTTGCAGGGGGATTTAAGATGGTGGGCTGCCTTGCTATTTTTTGGCTTCGCGTTCGTGGTCATGCCTAATCTTCATGGAAGGTGTCAGTTTGCTTCATGTATGGATTGGAGGGGTTTAAAGTGGTTAATGATGCAGCTGTGGTCTGGCTTCTGGTTTGTGGTCATGCCTCATCATCGGTGTGGCTTTGGGTTTGCTTTTTGCGTGGATGTGTGGTGGTGACATCCTGTGTGGTTTTAGTAAGTGTGGGTCTGGTGTCATTTTTTGTGTTAGGGAGTCGTTTGTCAATAAGGGCTGGTTTCCAAATGGCTGGTAGGTGGGAGGTATCATCTCGCTTGTTCATACTGTGTGGGCGTTTTTCTATCTCGATGGCTTCTCTGATTATTCTGTTATTAAAATGTTCACTTTTGGCGATAGTTCTGATATTTTTAAAGTCAATTTCATGTCCTGTGGCTTTAAAGTGTTGGACCAGGGAAGATGTTGGTTCCTCTTTTTTCACTGAGTGCTTATGTTCTTCAATGCGTGCACTTACTCTTCT